TTTTTTTTTTTTTTTTTTTTTTTTTTTTTTTTTTGTCTTTTTTCGTGTCCGGCAACGGATCGCAACCCTCAGTGTCGCGCCCGTACCGGACCGGGACCGGCAACAGGATCGCAACCCTCGGTGTTGCTCCCGCACCTCGCTCAGCCAGTGAGCGGGAACTGGTCTGTATGTGGGATCCGAACCCTCGGAGGGAGCGCCACTGCACTTCCCAAGCGGCGCACTGTAGCAGTGTGCCACCGGGCCGGCCTGCTGACTCCTTTTAAAAACAATCTTCTCCCTGTCTATGCTTCTTGGTAGCCTCAGTTAACTCTTTAACCATTTATAAATTCTTGTAATTTGCCTTTCACTCCAGGGGCAACAGCAGCTTAGGGAAGGGGGCAGCAGTTTCCTGTCCCACGCCTGTTCTGCACCTCCTCACCTTCTCCAGCATTTTCTGCCAGAACTGCCTCCAGAGGATGATGACAATGATGGCCAGGAGGATGAAAATGATGGCCACCAAGCAGCCAATCAGGATCCGAGTGTTACTGTCATCGACTTTAAGCATTGGATCTGTGAGCAGGAAAGAAGGTGGAGAATATAATCATCTCATGGGGCAAGAAAAAGCATGAGGGACTGGACTGTAGGAACAGAAGTAGAACTGTTTCTTCAGGATAATTCCAGAAGATGCCACCTGAATACTTCTGATTATTTTTTCTCTTGCTACTGTTTTATTGCTTTGCCCTTATAGTCCTCTGCCATGGGATAACAGCCTCCCTTTCCCAGTGTCACAGACTGCATAATGGAGAATTTTTCCATTCTTCCCCAAATTGCGTCCCTGTATTACATGGTCTGGGTCTGTAGACCCCAATCACACTTCATGAAAAACAGGTGAGGAACCAGTTTTCAATCTTTGCATTCTTTGAGACATGCCAAGATTCTCTCTGGAAACACTCAATCACACACGTTTCCCAGATTGCTGGCCGATATTGGCCAGTGACTGTCTGAAGCAGTGAATACACTTCTGCACAGCATATTTATCTCCATTCAGAGAGAACAGCATTTTGTTTTATAGACTTTCACCCATTCATTGAGACCTCCACTATGGGTCTCACCTAGAAATGTCCCTTTCCTTGTTTCTGCCCCCAAGCTTCCCAAACTTTATGGAGCAATTGGTACAACATCAGACTCTGCCTCAGCTGAAGAATCACATGACTCAGTAATGAAGAGAATGAATTTGGGCCCTTGACTTTGGAGGTGGACTGTCCTACCTTTTCAGGACTACTCTTCATCCAAAGCCACCTGGTTTCAAGCCTCCCACACAGTCAGGCTTTTGCAAATCTCCACCCTTCTTCATCCTCCAGGAGGTCCCTTCAACCTAATTTTCATAATTAGGAATCACACATACCATAGGTTGTGGGTGCCATAGGAGAGGTGGGCAGGGCTCCAGAGTTGTTGTACATGGCAGCGTCTATTACAAAACAAATGTGAGTCAGCGCTGGGGAGAAGACAGCTGGGTACTGCTTTCTCTGAAGGTAGGTTGTGACTTGGCACATTGTGGAATCAGTTTAATAAGTTGCCAACAGCCTTTTTGAAAAATGAAATCACAAATCTATTAAATAAAAATATCACCATCCATCTATCTAGTAAGGTCAACTTTTCTTTCGCAAAATTTTCTCAAGAAAATTTTTATTTCAAGAAATTTTTTTTTAAAATATTACATACTAGGTGTCATGGTACAAAAAGTTCAAGAAACAGTGGTTCAGAGGGCTGTGACTATATGTTATCATAAAGCATAGGACTCAGGTCTCAAATTCAGCCAAATGTAGAAAGAATATAGTGGTTAAGTGGGCATGGGACAGACACAGGGCTAAGATGCTCTTTCATTCAAGAAATTAAATTGTTTTATAAAAGGGTTTCCACTAGCCCTTGAATTTAAGGCCTCGTTTTTATAGGAATATTATTGATATTGAACGTCCTTTACTGTGATGTTGCAGTTTCTGAAACTAACCCCCCACAGTGTATTTGCCAGATTGATGTCAGCAACTAAAAAATCAAGGGGGTCAAGAATTAGAATATATATTTCCTTTCTAAGAGACATTTCTTCCTAATTTTTCTTCTTCTTTACATTATTATGTAAAGAAGAAGGTATCTGACCTCTACATGAACTTTCTGAATTGGTTCTTCAGGCTCCAGTGAAAACTAATATTATTATGACATTAGATTTAAAGCTGAAGAGATCCAAGAAAACAAAAACCATAGTCCATAGCTACGTGAGGGTACTTCAAAAAGTTCATGGAAAGATTCGTACTATCCTTTAATTCCATTTTTCCATGAACTTTCTGAAGTATCCTCATAGTTAGCCATTATCAGTGAAGTGATTACTCTGCCTAGAGAATCCCTGAGGGTGGATGGGAGTTTTTATTCATCCCCCAGTGAACACAGTGTCAGTGGTACTGCTTTTGAACATCTTAATTTCTGCTCTCAATACATACTCATATAAAATAATCCGTCCATTTACTCTTAGATTAAATTATCAGCAGAGAATGCACTTAGGCACAAAACCTGTTTTCTAAATATATGCTTTATTTTCTCATCAGTACATCTTAATAAGCAAACCATCTTGAATTTTTCTTCTTTCAAAAAACAAATCAGAAAGGATGCGGTCTTCTGTTTTATCTTTAAATTAGTCTCTCCTCTCTTATGTTATTTTATGCCTGTACTTTTCTTCCAGACCCAGTACAAGTCTCACTCCCTCAATGCTGTCCATGACAAACCCACTGTCTAGTGCCCCCCCACTCCCCTTTCTGGCTACTTATTGTTGGTACCATTTTGAACAGTTTTTGAAAAATCATTATATGGATTTTGTCTCACCATCTAAAATTTAATGGTGCAGGCAACGTCCTAAATACCTTTTAACTTTTCAAGATTCAACACAGTGCCTGGCTCCACTTCCCTATGGGGCCCTAAGAGCTCCCTACCTGATTGGAAGGTGATCTCACTGAACATCATCCAGGTGTCAGCAAAATGGTATTGACACTTGATGGCACTGGCCATTCGGTGGTGGAGGGGCACTGTGACAAACCGAGCACTGGGATTGACGTCATCCAGGACAAGAGGGAAGGAGACAGCATTTGGTTCCCACTCATTGGCTTCAGAGCGGAAATAGCACTGCACCTCCTTAAAGATCTTCACACCTTTAGCAAACATATTGTTGCAGTGGACCTGGCAGAGAAAGAGGCAGGTGAGTGACGGGTTGTCACTGTTAGTTTGCATGGGGACACAGTGCAAGCTGACCCAATAGAACCCTAGACCTACCTGTTTCCCTGAGCACCACCCTTGGTGAATAGTTGGTGCTCTGCAGTCTTCTGAGTTTCTCTTCTAGGAACTTAACAGTGGTAGTGATACATAGGTCAGAACTTAGAAAAACTGGCTGCAACCCCAGTTACATCTCTGCAGCTGTGTCCTCTGGCCACCTTACATCATGTTGCTGGGCTGCAGTTTCCTCATTTGTTAAATGAGGGCTAGACCAGCATCCTCTCAGGTTCTTCCTTGTCCTCAACTCTCCTGAGTCTATAATCCTCTCAACCACAGTTGCCATCTACCCAGATTTGATCTATGCTGAACTGAGAAAGAAGACTGCCACCCTACCGCCTTCTAGGTACATTTCAAAGCTAGATCACTCCTTTTCAATAGAGTTAGGTAAGAAACCTGAAATAATACACAATCCAAAACAATTTCATCTTTCTTTTTAGTAATCTCATTTCAAGTGCCATGTATCAGCATTTTTCAGCCAGAAACACCAACTTAATCATTTCTCTTAATTAAATTCAGTTTAGGTAAAGCCATTCTGATGAGGGCATAATCTTCCTCATAGGTAATTTCTGAGATGAGAAAAGAAGGTCTATTGGAAGTTAGCTTGTAGCCTCTTGTCTGCTGCCATGACCATTTCACCAGGATGTTTGTATGGTTTTTAAGGGTCATCAGGAACAAAGATTCCCAACTGCCCCTATGTCTGTGTTTAACAACCCTCAAAAATGGAGCGTGAATATTTGTAACTGACTCAAGTCACTCACGGTCGTTCAGTAACTTTTCCTAGTCCACCATCTCCCGAATTTAAGGATTTCATAGGTTAGAAAAACATCATTGTCATTCTAGGAATATATTTATTGTTTCCATTTTAATGTCTTGCTTAGGCCCTGACTTGTAACCCTTTGACTGTCCTCAGTAACCTCCCCTGGTTTCTGGATAGTCAATACAAGATTACCGTTCCAAATTTATTTTTAGCTAAAGCAGCAGCAGGAATGATTATAGAAATTTAATGATTAAAGAAATAGACCAGACATACCATAAGAACAGAATATTAGAGTTACTAGTGATTGTAAAAATTATCTAATCCAATTGTTTATTTACTAATGAGATAAGGGTGCTCATAGAGGTTTGACTTGCCTGTGGTTGGTCAACAACAGAACTGGGTCTAGAACTCTGGACTCCTACTCCAGTGCTCTTTCCTTTTTTTTTTTTTTTTTTTTTTTTTTTTTTTTTTGTGACCAAGTTTGGCAGTTTCTTATAAAGTTAAATTTACACCCACAATATGATCCAACAATCCCACAAGAAATGAAGATATATGCTTCACAACCCTATATGCAAATTTTGATAGCAGCTTTTTTTTTTTTTTTTGTCTTTTTTTTTGTGACCGGCCGCACCGCGCTCAGCCAGTGAGTGCACCAGCCATCCCTATATAGGATCCGAACCCGCGGCAGTAGTGCTGCTGCACTCCCAGCGCCGCACTCTCCAGTGTGCACCATGGGCTTGGCCCTGCTCTTTTCATATATGATGCCATGTAGAGATGTAGCATATCATCTCAACTTTGCCATTTGGATTTTCCTCCAAATGTTTTAATGATAAAAATGTGTGTTACTACCTTCCTTGGGATGAATTAACTGTTCCAGTTTATTGAACACAAGTCAATGGAGCAAGGCTAAGAAAAAAAAAATCAAAGAAATACCATCTACAGCTTCAATAGATTTTTCAGATGTTTTGAAATCTGCAAAGTGTTGGATAAGTATCCTGTGGGGAAGGTAATCTCTCCTACAGATGTTTTGGGAATTCTTCTTTGGGAATGCAAATAAATAGCATAGGATTTCATTCCCATGTGTTCTTATATGTTTGTTTAATAAATACAAGGGTATCTCAAAAAGTTTGTGGAAAAATAGAATTAAAGTTAATACAAATCTTTCCATGAACTTTTTGAAGACTTCTCATACAATATATTTTGAAAATGCATTAGTATATTTTAATGGTGCATTTTAACTATACTTTAGGGGAGGAAATGAGTAGTAATTTGCCTAGGAAGCAAAAACTACTCTCTAGAAGACATCAGTGACTTGAAAATCAAAGTCCTCTTTTACTTTTTATTTGTCTCCGAAAGATTAAAATATGCTGGAGACCTGTTTGGCTTAAAAGGACTGGCCATGAGTCAGCTCCTTAGAGGTTTCTGGCATCTTCTCATTGCAGAATATGCTTTTGAATAATTTTAACCTGTGATAAACTAAACAGGAGCTGCTGGGGATTCAGGAAGATCAAAGTTTATTAACTAAATTTTGTAACTTTATAGAGAGTTTGAAACACATTTCATTATTTGTAAGACTAGAAATTCTCCCAATGGTATATATTTATGAATATTTGTGAATTTACATACATGTTCATAGGTGCTTATGTGTATACACATTATGTAACAATACAAATAAATTTCCTCTTAAAGCACATTTTTGTTACTATGCATATTCCCCTACCCCCCAACAAAACTGCAAAGAACAGTATGTTTTACACCTGTCAAAGAGAAACCCAGAAGACTGCAGAACATCTTCTATTCACTCTTCATTCTTCATCCTTGAACAATAAAATAGAAGATTGGGCATGTGTTGATCCTTCTGTTCTCATCTTAAATGTTTCTACACTTCACTAATAGCTATTAATCCAATTAGAAAATATTATCATATTAACTTCTGGGAGTAATAGACATGCACTTTCTTTCTGATTCCCAGTTTCTGTAAAGAACACAACAAATTTTGATTTAGTAGGAACTGTTAAGGAAGCACAGATTTCCTTTTTCTGGGTCCCATATTGTCCTATATACCTCCTTTTGCAAATAAATAGTAGCTTCCCCACTGCACTGCAAATTGTCCCAAGATAGGGACCATTTCTTATTCACCTGTTTGTCCCCAGAACCTAGCCGAGTGCTATTTGTGTTCCAAATATAGCTGATAAATTAATAACAAGATAGAAGAATGGATGAATTTAGGAAACAAATATTGAAGCTTAGGACTGATGTAAATAGAAGCAGTCACCAATTTGTTGCCTGTTAATATCTGCTCCCTACTATTTATGGGGAGAAGAACAGATAAACAGGTACCCAAGTATGAGGGTGAATTCTCTTGCGCACTTTCTTGGGGCTTATTTGAGGTTTCCTCGTGCTCCCTCACAAACCAGTAAAAGTTATGTGCAAACCACATAAGCTCCTGGGGCCTCTTTTATCCAACACAAGAGCTTCCCTCTCTTCCTTTAAGTCCTAGTCTTCCTCAATCTTGGAATTCAGGTTTAGCATTTGATCAGGTCATTTTTTGCATGGACTTTGCTTCCCTTCTATTCCTTTCTCTCTGAAACAGACTTGGGACTGAGTAAGGGAAAAGTAAATTAATGGTCTGGGCTACGTACCAGCAAACTTATTATTTTATTAACAGAGATATTCTCAACCCTAACATCAAGGCTGGGCTCTCCTGTGAGGGCCTGCTTCAGGCCCTCCCCAACTCTTATAGAGTGTCTGCATTTACCAGGCTCCATCACCAACCCGTCCATCCAATCACTCAACAAAATTCACCTACTCCCTCTTCACTGCTCCGTGATAGCTGATAAAATAATTACTGTGCCTAATGAAATTGATATGTTGGCTCTGGTTCTGGGATGAAAAAAAGAAAAACAAAAAACATCAAGAACAACTGATCTAGTCTAACCCATGAGTAAAGAAAAAAGCCCTTAGAGATGAACTGACTTTGAAATGCATGTAGCTGGTTAGTAGTGGAATTAGTGTTTAAATCCAGTTCTGCTACCATCAGTTCAGGTTTCTTTCTGCATGTCTTTCTTCTACCACACTGTGATTTTGGCCTTTGGAAGAAGTTCCACCACACCTAAGTCCACTGACCTTCATGGTAGTGAAATTCCTGATGCGGTCAAATTCAAACATGATCTCGATGTAGCCATTGGTGGCACTCTCATTCCGCCAGCCCACGTAGTCATAGCCAGGCCATACGTGGTATTCATGGGTCTGGGTGAAATCGTCCAGGCCAGACACCCCATCTGTCAACTGGCCCAGTCCTTCAGTCATACTGCTCAGGCCAGGAGAGGAGAAGCAAAGGAGAGAGAAACCTGAAGTTAATCACACATTCATGGAAGAGGTTTCACCCAGCTCTTCGCCCTGGGTTTTATAAGAGCTGATTATCTCGGAGGTTGAGGGATTATGAAAAATCAAAGTTCTTCTATAGTACTGATTCATTTATCTGCATCAATGGAGAACTGAGAATTTTATATAAGTGAATTGTACAAAATATTCAATGCTTACCACTTTAGTAGCAAAAGTCTTAAACGTTATTTTATCATTTATATGAAAAGCTTCCTAAAATCTACTGTATCCTTGCCTACTGAATATAATGTCTTGATATAATGACTCAAAATTATCAAATGCATTTGATGAATTAATTCATTAAGTAAATGAAGGAATAAATAAATGCACGGAATGAATATTACAATAAATAATAATAATTGCCCCTAAATAAATGTTCACTAAATAAATGTTCGCAGAGCCTGTTGGAAATTTTTTCTGATTCTCCTTTTACCGTATGTTGTCATCATTCAGTGAATTAATTTCAGAGAATCCAATCATGCCTTCTTATACCCCACATTTCCAATAATCCAATTTGATATCAAACTAAAGGGCAATAAAAAAGTAATCTCTGCCAAATTTAAAGGCAAATTTAGTTTTAATTTTAGTTAAATATGAGAATACTAGACCTAAGGAATAAATTGCATGGATTTCATGAGAGTCTAAGGTATTAGATTTAGTTTTGTGTTCTAGCTTGGCAGCCTTTTCTACTTCTGAGTGTGAGACTGTGTTTTGGACGGCTGAGTTTGCTCTACTGCTAGATGGGGTATAAGTATATTTATGTTAATTTGACTATTTAAAAGATATAAAGAGGCCTCTTTCCTTCTTTTTATGGAGGGACAGAGCAAGAGCCCATCATGTGGAACTTCTTTCTCCTTGAGTTCTGCATCTCAAGTTCTGGAAGATATGTCAGGAATCTCCCAAAACAAGAGAGTGGGATATTCACCTTCAAGTAATAATGGATGTGACCCTTGAGGTTAACAGCCAGAATCAATGATATGTAAAATTTCCAAATTGCAAAAAAAAAAAAAAAAAGAAAGAATTAGTAAATTCACAACTGAATAAAACTAACAGTCAACTTCTATGCAGTTGTTTATAGATATCACTTTCCAGGATATTCTGCTAAAACCAATCGTAACTCTATGTTTTTTAGTCATGTAATCCATTGGCAGCTAAGTGAGGGTCCAATTACAATGATTTCTAGAAATTGTAATATTCTGGTGGCTATTTCGACTTTATTCATTGAAAAATGTTTGGCAAATTATAAAATTTGACTGGCTTTATCCACAGTGACCAGAGCCTGGATCTCCCTTCCAAGGATTTGCCATCTTTTTTTCTCTCTTGATCAGAAGACTAGGAGAACATGTTTACTTGCGAAAAATATATTTCCCATTATCCCCATAAAAATAAATCCCATGAAAGTCTTGTGAAAAGCAGCACAAATCAAAAGGAATGTATATTCAGTTTCTCCTTGGTCAAAATTAAATCAGGTGGAGAAGAAATAAGGAAGGAAACTTTCCAGGTTTACTTTATATACTTCAGAATTATTAGAATTACTACAACAAGCACATATTATTCTTGATTTTTTTTTTTTAATTACATAAGTAACTTTTGCTACTAACGCTATCTATTTCCTGAGACCCCGATCTAGGTATCTTGAATCTCATCACTCAGCCGCCACAACCAGATATTTTATTACCTCACTTGTTAAGTGGAAGCTAATTATGTCTAAATTTCTATAATTAGTTTTTGTCTTTCCTCTGGTGTTCAGAGCCATTTTCCAGTACCTTCTTTATTTCTCCATTCGAACGTCCTATTGGTCCCTTAAACTTATATCCCAAACTAAATCCATTATCATCCCCTACTAAACCAAATCTTCCACTTGAGTTTCTCTTTTCTGCAAATCGTACTTCTCTTTCATAGTCACTGAAAAGTGTCTGGTGCTTAGTAAGCATTTCCAATATGTCTGTTGAGTGAATAAATGTCATTCCCGCAGTTTCAGTCATTTAGACCAAGGCTTCATCTAATTCTTTTTCTTACCCTACTGCCTTGTCCCCTACATCCAATCAGATTGCAAATATCCCCTAAATGAGTATCACTTTTCCACACTGCCACAATCACCATTTTGGCCTGGGTCATTAATTCTTCTCACCTGACAAAATTTGAAATTAAAAAATGTCCCTCATTCCCTCCTCATTCCACGCAAATCTAACTTTTGCATTCTGCTTGATTAACCTATCTAAAGCACAGCTCCAATCACCTCCTTCCCCATCTTTAAAAACCTTCAATGTCTCATTATGTTGATGATCATGTTCATGAAAAACAAGAACAGAGACAATTCTTACTCCTCCGCCTTCTCTTGCTCCTCTTGGCATTGACATTCAAGTTCCTATAAATACGGCATAATCTGCCTTGTTATGCTTCTCATCTCCTACTTTGCTACATAAAATGGCCCAAGGTCAACTACACTATTGATTTTCCCAGACTTTCCCCTAAAGTTTACAACCACGATTCTTTTTCCTTCATGCTAATCTCTTTGCCTAAAATTCCGTTTTAAGGTTCTCTACCTGAAAGAGTTCTACCCACCCTTTTGGGCCCAGTTCAGATTTCATCTACTCTACCATGTGTTTACTGGTGCTCCCATCAAATAATAACAGTGTGTATAACTCTTTACCTTAGAAAATGCTTATAAATTTTTAAATCACTTAAGCCTCACAGAAGTAACTTTTAGTACATGAACTCGGGTGTTTTCACTCTCGATCCTGTGCTTTTCCACTACAGTTTACTCTTTCCTTTGAGCCCCAGAGCATTCATAGGATATCTCTTACTCATATCCTTGTATTGCAGCAATTTATATCCTGTCTTATCCCCCGTTGCAAATTATGAGCTCCTTATAGGTAGGACCAATGCCTTCATTATCTTTGAGTACCTACTGTGCCAGGCCAAATCTCTTGCACATCACAATGGTTTATTAACAAAGATTTATTAAACGAAACTGAATTCAATTGACCTCTGATTTTCTCTGTGTCTTCAGTATATGCTGGTTGGGATGTGGCTGACTGAAATGACGCCAAGACAGTTTAAGCAAATGGGAAAGAACAGTGACTATGCAGATAGAAAGGAAGTGACTAGGAGCAGAAGACTGGATGAATCAGGCCTCACCCAGGGCGTGGCAGCTGGAGGCCAATGGTTTGTTCATCACACCTAAGCCAATGCATATGCTGTAATTCCACACTCCCCTTCCTGAAACTCATGAATATCTCCTTTTCTCAACCCCCAGCAAACTCTGTCACTTGGTCTGGACTTCACTGTGGTCTGACCTCTCTGAAAGGCTTAATCCTGACTGAGCTGAGAGAGACAAGTGTTGAGTTGGGCTAGAAGAAGAACAAGACCTGCAGTGCAGTAGGATAGGTGGGAACATCTCCTACCAACCCTAAACTCCTACTGCATCTGATCTCACTTCTCCACCATAGCCCTCCATGGATCCACTTCAGGCCCCTTCCCTGTCATTCTGCTGCTCTCAGCTCCAGCTCCTCCTTTCATCAGGGCATCCTTGTCCTATCCCTGCTCCTTTCCCCTGCTTCCTTCTACCCACCTTTCTCTGCTCCTGTTCTCATCTCATCCTAGAAACTTTCCTTGTCTATTACAAGCCTTACTTGTCTCCTTCTTTTCACAATTTCTAAAGCATTTATATTAATGGGTCCATTCTTCCTGAACTTCTTGGCCTGGCCAATTTATTATACTTGTTACTTCAATCCTCTGGCCCTTTGTTTCCGTAAGTAGGCCAATACTTATGACAGACCGTATGTCCCATTTTGAGGGTCAAGAATATGACCACCATAAATAGAGCCATACCACAAATTTTAACCTTTGCTTTGCATAATTTATGGTCATTTTCTCTATAATTACTTTGTCTTCCCAAACCAGACTTTAATTCCTTGAAAATAAAGGCCATGTATGCTTATTCATCTAAATTATCTCAAAATGCCTAGTACAGGAACTAAATAAATACCGGTCAGCTGATTGACTAATTATTGACCCGAAGCCATGATAAATTATTATTCTCTCCTGATGGCCATCTTCCCATTTGGATGATCAAAGCTTCCCAGAACTTACCTGTACCCAACGGCTCCATCATAGACAGAATCATTCAGATAAATGACAGAGCCTCCAGGGAGTACAAACTGCTGCCCTGCTGGAGCATTGTAAGACACCAAGCCATCTGCCAAAGGAAACACAGCTGTGTCTGTGATGCTGGGGAAAAGACATGCCTGCTGCTCAGACCAGCTACCCCAGGGAGCTAGGTGATGCTCCAAGGGCACAAGCTTGTGTAGCGTGTCCACTAGGACCCAACCTGGGCTCACAGGGAGCCCTGCTGAGAAGCACTTCTCAGTGGCAGTCAGCAGAGTGACTCTGAATGCATTGTTCTGTGTGTGGGGCACCATGTCCTGGGTGGGTGGAAAATGCTTCTTTCTCTACCCAAGAAGGAATCACTTCATTCCAGGGATAACTGATCCTATCCTTTTCCGGCTTGATTCCCTTTATATCCCAGGGGTAGCAGTTTTTAATAAGGTCTATAAGCTCCCTGTGCTAGAGACCTACCTAGCCAGACACAACCATAAAGCTCCACTCTCATGCACACATTCATGGAGTGGTCGGTGACTGGAATGAATCGGACAAATCTGGCCACGATGGGGGGCTCCAGGTCCTTTAGCAAAATGTCATAAGGGTTGATATTTCCATCCAGCACCTGAGGAGAGAGAAAAGAAAGGATGAAGAGATGGTATTAAGTCATGCTCACTTTTCTTCACCCCCATCACCCTTTTGATGGAACAACTCCTTTTAGTTCAAGGAGCATAATGCATCCACTCAGCTTTCCCACAGCCTTGATGTTGCTGTCTTTGCCCACTTGCCACCCTGCCTCACCCTGGCTCACATGTTTAGGAGGGCATGCCGCATCTGTGGACACACACACCTACACAGACAACTTGTGCTCTTCTTCTAGCCTAAGTCAAACATGATCTTGGACATCCCAGGGTCTCATCTTCCTACCTGTTTCCCATGCCGGTTCCGCCAGGAGATCCAGCGAGTGCCATCCCGACTATAATTGATCTTGTACCTGGGGGCAAACTCAATGCCATGGCCCCCTGCATGGCGCCCCTGGGTCCCCACAAGAGTGATAAAGTGTAGAGTGTGCAAGTCAATCTGCAGGAACTCCTTCAGGTCATCGGGTTCCACTGGAATCTCAGGGCACCAGGCTCCATCCCCTTCCTCTGAGTCCAGCCTTGAGAAGTGAGGGTGGGGAGAGAGGGGGCAGCTGTGAAACCACTGCTCTGTTCACCAGTTCACAGCAAGCAGCTGCCCTGTCCTGGGGGGAGAGAGCGGTCTGGGGGCCCAGTCCAGATGGAATTTGGGTTCTCCTCCCTGGTCTGACTGCCACCACAGAACCCATTTGTGGTCAGTTCCTCTCCCTGGAGCACCATGAAACCCAGAGACAGTCACCAGCAAGGAGCTGGAGTCCTTTGGATCACATGAAGCTTTTATTTCCCATCCTGATTTAGAGACCTCGAAGGAAATGAAACACTTTCTACCCTCTGTTCCCCTATGGAGTCATTACACCATCCCCGCTCCTCCTTTCAGACTCAGCTTAACAAAGATAGCCACTCCTTGCTTGGATATAAAGTTATAGGATTGGGGAGGAAGGGACAGAAGGATCTCCAGCGTGGCCTATGCAAATGCAATGGAATTAACCATCAATGGACACGACAGACAGGATGGGCAGCCCAGCAGAAAGTCCAGGCTAAGCTACCACTGAGCAAGATTGTGAAATTAGCATAAGGTTTAGTGGGGGAACTTCTTACCACTTTCCCTCTTCCCTGGAATGCTCCCATTTCTCACGATGTCTCCCACTCATCTGTTGCTCCCTGCCAGCCCCACCAACTATCACTCTAGTCTTTCACACACGATGATAGATATCAGGGGGAAGGTTTACTAGGGTTGCTTTTGTTATGGATGATTCCTTTTTAACTAAATCAATACTTTACACCATGAGAATTCTATTCCAGCAGGAGGATTAGGCTCCAACCAGCAGAGCAGTTTTTGAGTTAGGAACTTTATTGATTTAGAGCACCCCTGAAATTATGCCACAGGAACCTACCACACTCTGTTTATGCGTAGGATGGCCCTTCTATGTGAGATACCCTTAAGAGAGGGGAGAAACTTGTTGGAGCCCTCAAGGTCTGGTCAAGCCCCCGATGCTTTGCACAGTGAGTGATGTTTCACAGATACCCTCTGAGAAGAGGAGTGGACACTAACTACCAGTGTCCTACATAATCTGCACCTTTTCATATCTGCCATTTTGACCTGCTTCCTGAAGCAACTCACAATGAAAAGGTCAGGTAGAGCAAATTCACTGCATATCAATGAACCCATTTGCTGTAGGTGGTGTGGCTCTGAGGCCTCTGTGGTTGGGATGGGGTTGCCAGACCAGTACATGTGGCCAAGCCCTGAATTCTCTCCCTGAAAACATAGAGCAGGACAGGCCCCCTTGATGTTCTTTCCCCATTCCCACCAGCTCCCACCAGTACCACCCCTCTTCCTCGATCCCTCAAGTTAGGGCTCTGTGTCCAGGAAATCTGTCTATCCCAGAATGCAGGCTTTCTTGAGGTAGCTGTCCTCACCTTCCATATTTGGCAGCTGTGGACTCTGACCACTGACTGGAAGCTGTGATGTCCTCATCAGGAATGTGGCCTCCAGACATGCCCAAAGGGTAGCGGCATATAGCTAGACCAAGAGAAACCAAAGACAAAAGAGAGGCCAAACTTATAGTTGTATTTCTAGAGCCCCCTAGAATGAATCTCACTGATTATTGAATAGGGAATAAGAGAACTTAAATCTTCCTAAATCCCTAGATGACGCCAGTTTGACCACTCCGAGTCTACCAGACTTGTCTTCTTGGCCCTGACTCCAAATACCATTTAAGCCTCCAAGATTTGACTCTCAGCCAAACCTATCTTTTGGTTCAAACTCTGACCAGTAATGAAATATAGTGTAGTGTGCTCATTTATCCTTCGTGTTTGGTAGTGACCCCAGTGGCCCCTCCCCATGTTCTTGTTAACAGATGTGCACTTCTGATCAACTTCCCAGCAGTAGTGAGTCATCCTCATAAACACCAGGTAGCCCTGTGATCCACAGCATTCTTTTCTCTGGGTAGCTGATTGCATGAAACTATGAAGCAAACCAAAAAACTCTCCTGTGAAGATACATTTTGGGTCCCCATTAGCACCATATTCTGGCTCCTAGCTAAAAACAATAATCTCTGGGGATGGACTTCAACTTTTAACCCAGATAGAGTAACAGGGACCAGATTTACCATCCTGTATGAAATAATCAAAAACAACAAAATACATGAAAAATTGTCTTTGAAGATGGAGAATATCAGACAACAAAGGACAACAATCTCTGAGAGACAGGAAACAAAGAAGATAAGCCCTAAAATTGCACCAGCTTACTGCCATCAGAGTTTGTCCAGGCTACAGTACAATAAGCAAGAACTCAGGCAGAGCTGGAGAACTCCCTGAGCCTAGGAGACAAAGGTAAGAATTTGGCAAGGTCAAGGGGACAAGAGTTCTCAAGACATAGGGCCTCCACCTAAAATACAGGATACCTAGTTAAATTTGAACTTCAGATAGAGATTGTCTTTTTTAGTAAAAGTATGTTCCACACAAGAAAAAGTTACCAGTCATGTAAAAAAAAAGCAGGAAAACAGAACCCATAGTGAGAAGAATAAAAAAAAAAAATTGAAGCTGATGCAGAAATTATTGCTTTTCAACATCCCAATGGTGTATTTTTGCAGCAATAGAAAAAAAATTCTAAAATTCATATGGAACCAGGAAAGGAACTGAATAGCCAAAGTAATCTTGGAAAAGAACAAAGTTGGTGGTATCACACTTCCAGATTTCAAAGTATACTGCAAAGCTATAATAATTAAATCAGTGTGGTACCTGAAAAAAAAAAAAGCTGACATATAGATCAATAAAACAGAATAGTTAAGAAATAAACCCACACACATAAGGTCAACTGATCTTTGACAAGGGTGCCTGTGTCACACCAAGTAAAGCTCCTGGATTATCTGACCCTAGGAAAGATGGCTCTGGGCCAAGGACTAGCTGATATTTTCAAAAACTGTGGTTAAGCAAAACCATACACAGACAGCTTTGGCAAGAAATATGGCTATATACCCAACTGGAACACTTCTCTGTTCACTATCCAAGTCAGATTTGAATCAAGGGATAGACATGGGAATCTAGTATCATTTGGCCTATTCTTATCAAATGTGTAATTTCTCCAGCTGAGGTGATAGGTTCCACAAATGATCATGCTCAAATCTGCATGGCAAATCTTAATTGTTTGAGGATGAGGCAGCAATTTCTCAAATTCCAAACTCTCTGAGAAGTGAAATTGAAGGAAAGAGTGAGAATAAGTGCTATGGGTCAAATGTGTCCCACAAAAGTTCATGTGTTGGAAACTTAATCTCCACTGTAACAATGTTAAGAGGATGGGAAATCCAATTATGATATTTGAAAGGTGGTGTCTTTTAAGAGGTGATTAGATCGTGAGGACGGTGCCCTAGTGACTGGATTGATCCTTTTGTGGAGTAATGGGTTGATGGTTTAATGGATGGTCGTGGATGTGGCTCTCATGGGTTTTTAAGGAGAGCAGGTTAGCTCTCTTGCTCAGCCCTTTCTCACCATGTGACACCCTGCATTGCTGTGGAAAGTCATAACCGAGAAAAAGGCCCTCACCAGGTGTGTTTCCTAGACTTTGGACTTCTCAGCCTCTGAAACTGTAAGAAATAAGTTTTCTTTCTATAAATTACCCAGTTTCAACTATTCTATTATAAATAACAGCAACAAACTAATACAGTAAGGAAATACTGAAACAAGATGCCAATGAGGCCAAAATTACCTGTGGGTGAGGTTGATGTACACTTCAAACGTCACACACAGAAGACAGCCCTCTTGTCTGCTCCATCCCTCCACGCGGTGAAAGCCACACCTGACTCAGGGCCTGCTCCGACCCCCTCCTTGACACTGATCCTACATGTTGTTGAGTAGGCTAAGTGTTTTAGTCCTTGGCACCAGTGACTTAGTGAACAAGAAGAGGCTCCTGGAGGCCTCTAAACTGGGTGATATGCCCCAGTCCAGTTTACCAGAGCACCTACATTGGCATTTGGGACCTACACGTAACTACCAATAAAGTAGAACAATGTTGCTCTCCCTTTTCCACTGTCCCCTGTGTGTGTAATTCCCTCAGGGACCTCCTGGGGAGGACACCTGACTGGCCAAGGCAGGCATTCCTGCTCCTTTGGCTACAATCCATGTCATAGTGTCCCCCATTGCCATCTTGACCCGGAAATAGAGGGGTTTTTTTGGTTTTTTTGTTTTTTCCTTTTTGTCTTTTTTCATGTCCGGCAACGGATCGCAACCCTCAGTGTCGCGCCCGCACCTCGCTCAGCCAGTGAGCGGGAACCGGTCTGTATGTGGGATCCGAACCCTCGGCGGGAGCGCCGCCGCACTCCCAAGCGGCGCACTGTAGCAGTGCGCCACCAGGCCGGCCCCCAAAATAGAGTTTTTAACAATTTGCAAAGTGCTGTACCAATAGCCCTATGTGGCAGGCAGGGCATATACTATTACTCCAAAATATATATGAGGAAAGCAGTGGAAGGCCCATAACTAGTCAGTGGTAGGGATTTGACTCAGATCACATTTCTGTGTCACAATCCAAAGTTTGGCCCAATACACCAGACTGCTCCCTCTACTTTAACCAGAAGAGTGGCTGGATGCAAAGTGTTTCTCCCAAGATGCCCTGCGGCTGACAGCAGCACTGCAGAGTAGGAAGTGAGCTGCTCAGCACCTTCTGTCTCTTCTGAAACCAAAGTTTTGTTCAGAATCTAGTCCTCCCTCCAACCTCACCCCCAGCATGATACACTTGTTTCCTTATTTCTTTCCAAATCTATGGTCTGTTTTAGTTCCTATATTTATTAATTCATTCATTCAACAGTATGTCGAACCCTATGGGAATACAGCAGTAAACAAAACAAAGTGCCTTTTGTCACAATGTGGGGAAACAGACAGTAAGCAAATAAATACCTAATACAAGAGAAGATGGCAAGTGCTGTGGAGAAAAATGAAGTGTGGAAGGGGAATAGGTGCTCTTTTATGTAAACAGTCAAGGAAGCCTCTCAGATAAAGTCATTTTGAGCAGAGACTTGAGTGAGGGTGCACAGCAAGCCAGGTGACTCAACTCGCTGGGGGAGGGTGTTCTATACAAAGGGAACAGGACGTGCAGAGGTACGCTTGCAGAAAGAGCATGCTTGCTGTGGATGCTGGTTAAGGTACAGCAAGAGGCCAGTTTCCCCAAAGCAGAAAGACTGAAATTATTATACTAGCCTTCTTTTTTTGCAACGTAAAGAATGCATACTCAACTAAAGCAAACATTTTTGAGGGAGGATAGTACCAATTCCAACAAACATCTCCTTCCTCTTATTTCTGACATTTTAAATATCTCTCATAGTATTCAATACATATTGCTTTGTAACATAACTATTTGTGAGCTTATCCTCCCTATAGATGGCAAACTTTGGGGGGGAAAAGAGACACTGTATCTTATTCATTTTTATTTTTCACTGCATGTCTAGGGAGAGAATAAGTGTGCAAAAATATTTATTGACAAAAGGAGGTAAGTCTTAGAGATCAATATAGATTAGGAGTGACAATAAAGTTGAGTAAAATACTGACTCCCTCCAAATTTCATCCCTCAGTCTTTTCCATTTCAGCCAACTCCATTCTTCCAGTGACTGAGGCCAAAATTCTCGAAGCCATCCTTGACTCCTTTCATACCGCATGTCTAATTCATCAGCTGATGAAAAGTCCGTTGGCTACACCCTGAAAATATTCCCACATCCCACCTACTTTTTCCCACATATTTTACTACAATCCTAAGCCAATTCACTGTCTTCTACCACCAGAAATAGTACAATAATCTCCTAACTCATCCCTCTATGCTTTCCCTATGTATCTTTTAAAATGTAAGTCAGATCATGAAACTCTTCTGCTCAAAACTCATCTGCCCTGCAGTAACTTTCCATCTTGCTCATAATCAAATTCAAATTGCTTGCATGGTCTCCAGGGCCCTGCCTAACCTGTCTCCTGGCTGTCTTACAACTCGTCCCCACCCCCACCCTCCCCATCAGCCATACTGGCCTCCTGGCTGTTCCTCAAGCACACTAAGTATGCTTCTTTTTCAGGAATTTGCATTTACCATTTAAGTATTTAATTCAGTAACATAAGAATCTTCCTAGGGTCAAGGAAACAGAAGTGAAATACCATTTTCCAACCTTTTTACATATTAATTTCTCCCAAATCTGGATGCATTTTACAAGCAGATAGTGTCATAGTTTAACTGGCAGTGCTTTATTCTTAGAGGCACATAAAGTAATGATGTAACTTAGAGTTGGCAGTTTCTTAAATTCAATGAAATACAGTAATAATAACATTGATTTAGGATTTAGAAGGCATTTAGAAAGTGTCAGGCAATATGGTAAGCATTTTCCCATTCAGTATTTTATGTTTCCCACTAATCACACATTCTACAGATAAAGAGTTTAACTGCACGAGGCCGTTCATTGAGTAAATATTAACTCATCTTAGAATCTGATTCTAAAGCCTTTGGTTCCACTAAGCTACACAACCTCTGAAGATCAAGACTTCAAATACACTCCT